CTTGGCTCACACAAGCTCTCAACAAGCTCACACCTCTGGACATCAGGAGAGAACACTTTGCATTCTTCAAGTGTCTGTGGGGTACAGTAAGAAAGCATATAGGAAGTGGTAACAACAAGTGGTCACCTGGCAGCAGTAGAGACTTTGTTCTGGTGTACCTTCTGAGATGAGTTTAGAAAGCCTAAAACTCAAACGCAGTTGAATCTGCCCAGGCATATCTAAGACAATAAGGACTTGTAGAAAAATACATGCAGCAAAAGGAAGGCTAGGGTGAATGTGGACCAAGTAGTATGAGGCAGAGTACCTGATGTGAAGGGCATGAAGGGCATGAAGGACATGATGAGTCCTGTGCTGCATGTGACCACCTAAAACAAGCTCTGAGAAACACGAGAAGAGCTCAGTACCACAGTGTGACTCAGACAGTGCAAAGACTGAGAGATACGATGGACAGTTCTTTCTGGCAGGAAATTCTAGGGGCACCAGACTCTGTGCAAGACACCAATGGATCTTCTCTCATTTGTGAAGCTGTAAGTTCTGAAAGATGTTCATTAATGTCAATGAAACTGAAACAGTGGTCTGAAGACAAAGATAGAAATCAATAAAAGCATGCTAACACACTTCTCAACTGGAAGTATTCTCATGAGTCCTCTCTTTTTTTTAGTTTGAAAACACCAGTCTTTGAGGGGATTTGGTGTCTTATTCTGTTTTTATTTTTGCTTTAATACAGTGTTTTGCAGAACTGTGTTTGCAGGACACAGATGTTTTCAGGTACAGGGACACAGACAGTGGTGCCAGTGTCAATGCCCTATGACCAATGCCCAGCATCCACCGCTGCTCTACTCTGCTGCGTATTTGATGTCCCTTATCCTCCAGGTGTCTCCAGCTCTCCTAAATCAATGACCATGGTTTAGGGCATGTTTTCAGCAGGCCATCTGGACACATGCTCTTCCCACTGCTCTCCAGGTTTCCCCCATCCCTTGCTCTTTGTCCACTTGGGTACCTCCCAATGGCATCGGTGGACAAAGGGAAGGCAACTGATGTCATCTACCCGGACACTCACATAGCCTTTGACATGATCCCTCACTGCATCCTTATCTGCAAATTGGAGAGAGATGGATTTGAAGGGTGGACTATTCAGTGGATAAGGAATTGGTTGGAAGGTCACAGGCAGACGGCTGTGGTCAGTGACTCCATGTCCAGGTAGAGGCTGGTAACATGTGTTGTTCCTCAGGGGTTCATCTTGGGATGGGTACCCTTTCACACCCTTCTCAGTGACAGAGATGATGGGACTGAGTGCACCCTCAGCAAGTTTGCTGATGACAGCCAGCTGAGTGGTGTATCTGAAACTGCAGAAGGAAGGGATGCCATCCAGATGGACTGTGATAAATACACAAGATGGGACCTTGTGAAATTAATGAAGTTCAGCAAAGCAACGCACAAGATTTTGCACTTGGATCCCAGTAATACCAGGCATGTGTACAACTGGGGAGAACTCCTTGAGACTAGCCCTGCTGAGAAGGACTTAAGGGTTCTGATTGATGAAAAAATGAAAAACATAACACAGGTCAGCAGTGCGTGCTTGCAGCCCGGAAGGCCAATGGTATCCTGGGTCCCATCCAATGAGGGGTGGCCAGGAGGGTGAGGGTCTCCCGGGATTGTTCAGCATGGAAAAAAGAAGGCTGCAGAGAGACCTTATTGCAGCCCTCCAATATCTAAAGGGAGTTGATAAACATGGAGGAAATCAACTTATTAGACAAGTGGATAGTGATAGGACAAGGGGAATGGTTCTAAACTAAAGGAGGGGGAGGGAGGGGTGATTTAGATTAGATGTGAAGGGAAGTTGCTTACTGAGAGAGGGGCGAGGTGCTGGAATGGGTTGCCCAGAGTGGTTGTGGATGCCCTGTCCCTGGGGGCATTTAAGGCCAGGTTGGATGGATCCCTTGGCAACCTGATCAAGTACTTGATTGAGAAGCTGGCACCCCTGCCTGTGTTGGGAGGGGAGGAGGTGGGGGGTGTTCAAACTGGATGATCCTTGGGGTCATTACCAACCCCAGCTATTCTATGATTCTATGATTCTATGCTACAGGCAAACTGAGCAAGTTCAGAGCATGACTGTGTGTTTCTGGGGGCAAATGTCAAGGGCACACTGACCAGTGTCCTATTCTCCTCAGTCCTGCTGGTAAGGAGGAGTGGCTTGGGGACTGGACAGGTCCTGGGTGTCAGCAATTGTGCAGCAGTTATCAGCAACAGGGCTTTAGTTTCTAGGAACAGGAGACTTGTACACAGGGAGAACCAATGCCCTGCAGTAGTGCAGGAGGGGGATTGGTTGACTGAGAGCTTCCCTGCAGTTTTGCCAGAAAGAACTTAGGCTCCTTGTGGACAACAAGCTCACCATGAGCTAGCAATGTGCTGTTTCTGCAAAGGAGGCCGAAAGATGCTGGGCAGCAGTAGGACTAGCATAGCCAGCAGATGAAGGGAGGGGATCGTTCCTCTCAGTTCAGCACTGCTCACCAGTACATAGGGGTCTTTGGCTTAGTGAAGCAAGACCAGCAAAGAGCTTCAAAATGGACTGGGTTCACCTTCCTAAGAGGTGAGGCTATGAGAGCAGAGCATGTCCAGCATGGAGATGCAAAGGCTCCAAGGAGAAATACCTTGACAGCGTATATAAACATCTGATGGGAGGCCTGAAGAAGCGGGAGCCAGGCAGTTCTCATTGATGCCTAGCAAAAGGACAAGGGATGATTGGCTCCAGATGAAACACATAACACTTTATCCAAGTCCAGGGAAGCATTTCTTTTCTGGGGGCTGCTGATCACTGGAACTGGCTGCCCAGAGAGTTTCCTTCCCTGCAGGTAATCAAAAAATGTGTAGACCCACTCCTGGAAATTCAAGCCCAGTCTGCAACCCTATGTCCAGATGGAAGCCTGTGATTAATGTTGTCCTTGGGACAGGTGATCTGCACCATCTTTATGAATGATATAGACAGTGGGATCAAGTGTTCCCTCAGTAAGTTTGGTGATGGCACCAAACTGAAGGATGCAACTGTGTCAACGGTTTATGGGCTGGTCCGGCCCAGTTCCGTGACCAGCAGGGCGGAGGGATCTGCGGATCCGCGCCTCTGGGAAAGGGGAAGCAGGGGACCCCAAAATACTTGAAAAAAACAACAGCACTGATCTGAGGTGGAACAAATGATTTTACTAAATATAGTATTAGTAAACTACAAAGAGAGAGAGAGAGAGAGAGTCTGTTTGAATTGTATAGACCTCACCACAATCCTGGGGTGAGAAGTGCAGTCCAGTTGAGTGACTGAAGTACAGACGGCGAAGTGCAGATGGTGAAACGCAGGCGGCGAAGCGCAGATAGCGAAGCGCAGACAGCGAAGAGCAGGCGAAGAAGAAAGCTCAGGTGACCTTGCTTGGAGTTATATCCCCTTGCTGACCGCAAAGCCTCCTGGGGAAATGTAGTTCTTCTCCGACGGACGAACATTCGGCAGATATCAAACCCCACCCCCAGTGCATTACATGATGTTATGGTGTGGAATACTGATGACCAAAAATCGTAAAACCATGACAAACTGACACAGCGGAAGGAAGGGATGCCATTCAGAGGGACCTGGATGGATTTGAGAAGGGGGCCCACATGAAATTACTAAGATTCAACAGGTCAAGTGCAGTGCACTGCACCTGGGTCAGAGCAATCTTGGATACTTGTACAGTGTGGGAGAAGATCTTGTAGAGAGCAGCCCTGCAGAGAAGGGCTTGGGCATGTCCATGAAAAGCTGGACATGAGCCAGCAATGTGCTCTCACAGCCCAGAAGGCCAACTGTGTTCTGGGCTGCATCAGATAGGATTGCCCAGCAGAGGGAGGGAGGGAATTGTCACCCTCTGCTTTGCCCTCGTAATGCTCCAGCTGGAGTAGTGCCTCCAGCTCTGAGGTCCCCAACACAAGAAAGACGCAGAACTGTTGGAGTGGGTCCAGAGCAGCACCACCAGAGAGCTGGAGCACCTCTCATATGAAGAAAGGTTGAGGGAGTTGAAACTGGTAACTTTGGAGTGAGCTCTAGAGAAGCCACACTGCAGCTTTTCAGTACTTGAAGGGAGCTTATAAACAGGAGGAAGGCTGACTTCTTGGTTAGGGAGAATATGATAAAAATGGGGCAACATTTTAAACTAAGAGACAAGACGTGGATTATTCAGTAGGAGGAACGTCTTTACTCAGAGTGTGGGAAGGCACTGGAATGGAGAAAGTGGACAACCTGGAGGTGCTCAAGGCCAGGCTGGATTCAGCCCTGGGCAACCTGACCTACTGGGAGGCAGCCCTTCCTGTGGTAGGTAGATACGAAGGGATTGTTAACACCCCTTTCAACCCAAGACATTCTATGGTTTTATAATACCAGAATAAGTGCCACCAAGAAGGGAGCTCTTGGTCCACCATTTGGTCACTTAAAGATCACCTGGGACTCTGCGTCCTTCAGTCTGTGGAGAACTCCAGAAAATAAAAGAGCAGAATCATGTATTGGCTGCATTGCTGATATCAGCCTTGCAAGAGGCCTCCAGGTCTCTGTTCTGAGCAGCCCCTTGTGTTGTGGTGCTGCTGGCTAGTGTGACCAGCTCTGACACATTGGTGCGCATTGCTGCTCCTGTCTGCAAACACAGGGATGCCAATGTTATATACAACAGGACTGCTGTGAAATCAGATGAGACCCAAGAGATACCAGGAATCTAGAGGTACAGTAGGACATCATGGGATTGGAAAGAGAGAAGCACCCAAAAGACCACCTCCTGCCCCTGCCCATTGCCACAGCCCCAGCAAAGCAGCAGCCCTGGCTCAATGGGCACAGATAGCGAGAGCCAACCAGGCAGTGAGGAGCATCTCCCAGGGACAGCAGGGCTGCTGCTCCCTTTCGTATTTGGTCTTCTGGTCCCTGAAATCCCCCTGAACAACGACTTTGCACCACCAGGTCCAAAGGACAAGACAAGACATGGCTGCTGAAACAAATGAATTTCTACTGGCTTGTTTATTGAGGTTATCTACAGAGGAAGCCTGCTTCTGTAGGTACATGAAATGACTGGGACAAAATTACTAATTAGCAAGTAGGAGGCTCATAATAAATATATTTAAATCAAAATTCAGGTTGTAAGAAATAATAACAAGGACAAATATTAACAAAATACTGTCCTAATATTTTCTGATATAGCTGAGGATTACCCTATGTTTTCTCAGCGCATCCTTAAGCTCCTGATTCCTCATGCTGTAGATGAGGGGGTTCATTACTGGAGGCACCACAGAGTACAGAAATGACACCACCAGGTCCAGGGCCCGGGAGGAGATGGAGGGTGGCTTGAGGTAGGCAAACATCACAGTGCTGACAAAGATGGAGACCACAGCCAGGTGAGGGAGGCACGTGGAGAAGGCTTTGTGCCGTCCCTGCTCAGAGGGCATCCTCAGCACAGCCCTAAAGATCTGCACATAGGACAAAACAATGAATATAAAACAACCAAAGATTAAACAAAGACTGAAATAAATAATTCCAGTTTCCCTGAGGTAGTCTGGTTCTGAGCAGGAGAGCTGGAGGATCTGGGCCATTTCACAGAAGAACTGCTCCACAACATTAATAAGGCAGAAAGACATAGAAAATGTACTAGCAGTGTGCAGCAGGGAATAGAGAACCCCAGAGCCCCAGGCAGCTGCTGCCATGGTGGCACAAGTTCTGCTGTCCATCAAGGTCCCGTAGTGCAGGGGCTTGCAGATGGCAACATAGCGGTCATAGGACATGATGGTGAGAATGCAATACTCTGCACCAAAGAAGAATAACAAAAAGAAGACCTGGGCAGCACATCCTGAGTAGGAAATGTGCCTGGTGTCCCAGAGGGCATTGGCCATGGCTTTGGGGAGAGTGGTGGAGATGCAGCCCAGGTCGAGGAGGGCGAGGTTGAGCAGGAAGAAGTACATGGGGGTGTGCAGGCGGTGGTGGCAGGCTACGGCTGTGCTGATGAGGCCGTTGCCCAGGAGGGCAGCCAGGTAGATGCCCAGCAAGAGCCAGAAGTGCAGGAGCTGCAGCTGCCGCGTGTCTGCCAACGCCAGGAGGAGGAACTGGCTGATGGAGCTGCTGTTGGGCATCTGGGCCTGGAGTCCTGTTCACAGTACAGAAGATAATGACAAGAATATTCTCAGAGTCGCTCCTGCTATACTATAAAACTCCCTGCCCTGGCACACAGCCCCTGGGGCACAGCAGGACCTGCTCTGCAGGACAGCCCGTGGGGCACAGCAGCTGCAGCCCCGACTGCACAGCCTGCAGCCGTCCTGGGACACGCAGCCCTCAGGGCTGTGCTTCTGATGCTGCAGCATGGAAGCCCTCAGCTGGAGGCAGTTTTTATCTAAAATAAAGAAACATGGAGTGCCTTCAGACTGACCTGCAACGGGCTGTCCCAGATTTAGTAATTCCTGCATTAAAGCCACTACACTGTCTGCAATGAGAGACTTACCTGGTCAACGGCTGTGAGCAATGCTCCTCCAGTGAGTTCACAGCCTAACGTGCCACACAGCCTGTCAGCTCTCTTCCTTATTTCCTCTACCTGTCTCTTGCAGACCATGTCTCCAGCCCTGCTGTGTGCTGCACAGGAGCTGCTCCTTTGCACTGCTGTGTCCCTGCAGCACTGCCCACTTGTAGGAGCTCCCTGTGTCCCAGGAGCCTGGCCCAGCTCAGCAGCAGAGGATGTCATTTCCATCTTCCCCACTGATCTCCCCTGAGATGTCCCTGGATCTCCATGGCCAACAGCTCCTGAAAGACTACAGTGTCATGACTGTACTTTGAAATGCTCTCAATTAACCGCCAAATGTCCAGAGGGCAGTGACTGATTCCAGACATGTGGTTAGTCCTACCAGAGAGTGTTTGCTGAAACAGAAAGGGCACACAGACAAGGACAGTGGACTTTCCCTGTGCAAGGCGGAGATCCAGCTGAGGCAGTGAGGCATCTCATCCCTAGATGGAAACCTTATGGTTGAAATTGGGTTCAGATCCCCACAAACCCACGGGAATTTCAGTGATTCCTCTGGAATTCATTTCAGTTGTGCACAAGGAGTTGCCTGCATGTGAGCTCCTGCTCTGCGTCTTTGATCCTTCAGCGGGGAGTCAGTTGCTCACACACAGACCCTGGGTGATGACCAAGGTGCCTGGGGTGCTGCTGGATGTGTGCTAGTGCTTGTGCAGTATGTGGGAATCCCTGAGAGAGCCACCTCCTTCCTGAGCATCAGCTAAAGGCCACATAGGGGATAATGGTATTCTCAGCCATCCTCAATGGCAACCAACCCCTTTGTTTAGGGCACCCAAGTTTGCCTTTTTAACACATCTCCATGGTGCATGCAGAGTTATGCAGCTGACTAAATGGCTGAGCTCACAAAAGAAGAGACAGATCTTTCTCTGTTCGCCATCTGCTGAATATTTTGGAGCTCCAGGCACTGCAGAGCTGGCGCACATCTTCATATTTCAACTTATGAAATCTCAGTGTTCTATGGGCACACACGTGAATGGCATCAGAAGCAGCCTGATGTCAGGCCAGTTCCCTAGGTGGTCCAGCACAGACAGATGCTGCTGGCAAATGCAGCACAGGGCCTTCAGGAAAGCCATGCCCTAGGAGTGTCCGTGCTGCTGGGACAACTCCGAGCCTCACAGTGGGTCTAATGCCTGTGTGCCACCTTCTGAACACAAATACCGTAGATGTGTTATGCAGCCATGCTAGGAACAATGGTGCTTGTTTCTTTATGTGTTTTTACACTAATGAGAACACCAGCACATGCTGAGCTAGAAGTCTTTGCTAAGTTGCGTGCCTGAGCTCTTGTTTGGACCACAGGGACATGGTTAAATGGCTTCCACAACTGGACTGAAGTACAAGAGGGATACAGAATCTTTGTGATGGATGAGTGAGGAGACAAGGAAAGGTGACTGCGCTCTGGGAGAGTGCACTGAACTTCTCCTGGGGATGGCAGAGCAGCCAGGTCAGAGCAAATGGTAACGGCAATCAAAGGAGACCAGCAGTGTCTGTTCCTGGCTTCCTGATCAGAAAGAGCAAGTGGAAGGTGCCCTCTGCAGGCAGATGGGAGCCTCATCTTGTCAGGCCATTTGGAGTCCTCTTTCACTGCAGTGTCTGCTGCAGGGTCAGCACAGTAGGGCATGCACCATCCAGAAGATCCCTGGAGAACACAGATGGCAGCTTCCAGACCAAGCCATAGAGGAATCCAAGAGGAGAGGTGCTCTGCTGGATCTCAAACTCACTGGCAAGGAAGGGCTGATGGGGAATGTGAATGTGAAGACCAAAGTGAACCTGTGCTGCAGTGGCCATGGAATGGTGGAGCTAAGGAGTCTGAAGGGAGGGCAAAGGACAAGCTCACAACCCTGGGCTTCAGAAGAGCACACCTTGGCTTCTTCAGTTCTCTGTAGTACAGCAGGGAAAGGCTTTGAGGGGAATGGGGTCAAAAAATGTGGTTACAATATAGGGATCATGGCTTCCAAGCAGAAAAAGTCCATTCCAAGGAAAAGGAAGCCAAATACAAATGTCAGAATTCCTGCATGACTGGGAATGGATTGCATTGGTCTCACCCAAACACAGAAAGGAAGTGTGCAGGAAGTGGAAACAAGAAGAGGTCACCTGGCAGCAATGCAGAGACTTTGTCCAGTGTTCCTGCTGAGATGAGTTTAGGAACATCAGAGTTCAACTGCAATTGAATGAGCCCAGGCATATCACAGGCAAGAATGGCTTGAAGAAATACAATGTAGTCTACAAAAGGAAGGCTAGGGAGGATGTGGGTCCAGAGTAGAATGGGGCAGGGAACCTGGTGAGACAGGACATGGAAAAGTCTCTGATACTCATTTCCTTCCTCACGGTTTATTAGTTGGTCTGGGCTTCTTGGAATCCTGGGTGCCGGAGACAGGTGGGAAATGTTGGTGCAAGGCAGATGTACTGTTGGTGGAAGAAGAGGTGATCAGGGAATACTTGAGCAAATAGGATCCCGTGTTGGAAGAGGCTGACAAGTATTGTAGGATTTTTGAACGGTTTGGGTTGGAAGGACCTTAAAGCCCATCCAGTTCCATCTCCCTTGCTGTGTGCAGGGCTGTCACACAGTAGATGAGGATGCCTGGGACCTTTGACATCTTCAATATCTCCAGGGATGAGGCAACCCCATCTTCTCTGGGCTGCCTGTTCCATACCAGCTCCATGCCTCACATCATGATCTGTGGAATGCAACGAGGAAGGCTAAAGCCCGCCTGGAATTAAATCTGGTGAAGGGGATAAAGGATAATAAAAAAGGCTTTTTTAAGTATGTTAACAGTAAAAGGAAGACTAGGGAGAATGTGGCTCCCCTGCTAAGTGACGGGGGTGTTCTGATAACAGGGGATGCTGAGAAGGCAGAGATACTGAATGCCTTCTTTGCTTCTGTCTTCAGTGAAAAGGCTCCCCCTCGGGAATCCGAAACCCTGGAGGTTAGTGAGAGGGTCTGGGGAATGGAAGACCTCCCTTCAGTCAGGGAAGAGGCGGTCCGAGAGTGCCTAGGCAACACCAGTGTTCATAAATGCAAGGGACCCGATGGGATGCATCCACGGGTGCTGAAGGAGCTGGCAGATTGCTGAACCGCTTTCTGTCATCTTTGAGAGGTCTCCAAGATGGGGGAGGTGCCTGAAGACTGGAGGATAGCCAATGTTACTCCGGTCTTCAAAAAGGGCAAGAAGGAAGACCCAGGCAACTATAGGCCAGTCAGCCTCACCTCTGTAGCTGGAAAGGTGATGGAACAGCTTGTGCTGGATGTCATCTCCTGACAATGGAAGAAAAGGAGGTTATCAGGAGTAGTCAGCATGGATTCATCAGGGGGAGGTCGTGTTTGACCAATCTGGTAGCCTTCTATGATGTTGTCTGGCTGGGTGGATGGGGGCAGAGCAGTGGATGTAGTCTACCTTGATTTCAGCAAGACTTTTGATACTGTCCCCCACGACATGCTTACAACAAAGTTGAGGAAGTGTGGGACAGATGAGTGGACAGTGAGGTCGGTTGAGAACTGGCTGACTGGCAGAGTGCAGAGGGTCGTCGTTGGTGGTGCAGAGTCTGGTTGGAGGCCTGTGAGCAGCGGTGTTCCTTAGGGGTCGGTGCTGGGTCCGGTCTTGTTCAACATCTTCATCAATGACCTTGATGAGGGGATGGTGGCCACCCTCAGCAAGTTTGCTGATGATACGAAGTTGGGAGGATTGGCTGAAGGCCGTGCTGCCATTCAGCGAGAGCTGGACAGGCTGGAGAGCTGGGCAGAAAAAAACGGATGAGGTTTAACAACAGCAAGTGTAGAGTCCTGCATCTGGGGAGGAATAATTGCATGCACCGGTACAGGCTGGGGGATGAGCTGCTGGAGGGGAGCTCTGCGGAGAGGGACCTGGGTGTCCTGGAGGACGACAGGTCAGCCATGAGCCAGCAGTGTGCCCTTGTGGCCAAGAGGGCCAATGGCATCCTGGGATGCATTAAAAAGAGCGTGGCCAGCAGGTCGAGGGAGGCGATCCTCCCCCTCTGCTCTGCCCTGGTGAAGCCTCATCCAGAGTACTGTGTCCAGTTCTGGGCTCCCCAGTACAGAAAAGACAGGGATCTCTTGGAAAGAGTCCAGCGGAGGGCCACCAAGATGGTGAAGGGCCTGGAGTGTCTCGAATGTGAATAAAGGCTGAGTGAACTGGATCTGTTCAGCCTTGAGAAAAGAAGACTGAGAGGGGACCTGATCCAGGTCTATAAATATCTCAGGTGTGGGGGGCAGAACGGTGAGGCTGGACTCTTTGGATTGGTGAGTGGAGACAGGACAAGGGGAAAATCCTGGAAACTGCAGTATAGGAAGTTCCTCACCAATGTGCGCAAGAACTTCTTTGCAGTAAGGGTGATGCAGCACTGGAACATGCTGCCCAGGGAGGTGGTGGAGTCTCCTTCTCTGGAGATGTTCAAGACCTGCCTGGATGCCGACCTGTGTGACCTAGTGTAGGGAACTGCTTTGGCAGGGGGTTGGACTCAATGATCTGTGGAGGTCCCTTCCAACCCCTACAATTCTGTGATTCTGTGAATGTTAGAAATTCCTTCCAAACATCTAATGTAAATCTCTCTTTT